TCAGTATTGCTGCCTCACAGTGTTTGGGTCCTGGGTTCAGTTACGGACCTGAGGTGCTGTCTGAGTGGAGTTTGTATGTTCTCCCTGTGAAATGCGCATTTGTGTCTGTGTGGGCCCTACGATGGACTAGCCATCCTGTCCAGGCTGTACCTTGCCTTGTGCCCATTACCTGCCAGAAAAGGCCCTGGATCTCTTGTACTATCTTGATAACATAAACAAATGGGTCCCATAATCACATTTTACAACAAATTGAAAATTTACATTTGTAAACATCACGTAGCTCGGCATGGTCCTTCTGCAGATGAATAGCCAGCGTGTGCGTACTCTGACGCCAACAACAAACACCCTATGTTGCTCTTCAGTCTTGCTCTGCCTTTGTGCACGCATGGTAAAGTCTGCATACTACGTCACGATTTTTCAATGAAAATTTGTGAGAAACTGCAGTGCAGGTCATGCCAAGGAAGCACCCAAGTGATTTTGTTATTTTTATTACTGTGTGTTTAATTACTGAATCATACAGTGTACGGTAAGGAAATGTACAGTATTTATACAAGTGTTCAAAGGAAATTCACTCATGTTTATTTTTTTACTGTACTGTATATTTTTAAGGGTATGCTATAGTGGGTGTTTAATCATTCTAATTATAGTGTTTAAAAACTTTTTTATTCATTGTTATTTCATTTGTCTCTCCCTGTAAAGAGAGGAAGTTTCCTTTCTCTTTCTCCAAGCTACAGTGCAGGAACATTTTCTCCAGCTCTCTACCCCCTTCTGTCATCAGAACACACACCTGTTAACCATCAAAGCTAGGGAAAACGAGACAGGATTGCGGCATTATCCATCCATCCACTTTCGAACCACTTTATCCGATTCAGGGTTGTGGAGGAGCCAGAACCTATCCCAGTAAGAAATGGGCACAAGGCAAGGTACACCCCAGACAGGATACCAGTCCATTATAGGGCACACACAGACACAAATGCGCACACACACACTCACAAGGAGACTGAGCACAGTGAAAACATTCAAAATCCCATCTTGGGAACCCAGGGCCCCAGCACTGCGAGGCAGCAATGTTAACCACTTCGCTACTGACCTGCCCTGCTGCAGTATCATAAATAGTCATTCTTTATGTGTGTTCATGCAATGGCTAGGAAAGGGTTGCTCCTGACTTAAATAAGATTTAGGATTCATAAAGCCTTGTGGAAGAGAACCCTTGCATACATAACTTGGAGAGTTGGGTGTATTCATTTCATTGCATTTGTGCATATGACAACTCTGTCCAAGGTCTCAGCTAAGCCAATCCAAAACACAATGACGGCACAGGGTGAAAAGCAGAACCACAAAGCAGATGCAATGAGGACTGAAAACAGGAGGCATTTATATTAGACATTCAGATCTGTAGAAGCTGCATTCAGCAGTTCCTGTCACCGGGTGTCTTCTTAGCTAAGCAGCGGTGAGACTCACAGCCACTGAATGTTGTTCTTGGACTTCTTGGAAATTAGCTTGATGCCCTCCAGGACATTGGTGATGTCATAGATGCGGCGCTTCTGGACCTCAAGCACCTGCGAGGCCCAGTTCAGGTCGACCACACCATCGGGGGACTGGGCCAGGAGCTCCAGGAAGCGCTTGGTGGTGAGGTTCAGGGAAGTGTCGTAGCGAGATTTCTCACTGGGGGACTTCAGGCCTGAGGAAGGAGAGTCTGGGCAATCAGGGAAGGGCTAATCCACAACAGTACTATCCTGGCATTGGAGCAAAAGGTGTGTGTGGCAGGCCTGCAGTAATGAGGGTAGTCATTTCAGCTAACCTGTCACTTAAGATCTCTATTGTGTTCACATGAGGGGTATTAATTGATTACTTAGATGAATGGTGATGGGATGAGAGTCACATCCTCTCACATGAAGTTAACTGAGCATAATTTGCTATATTAAGGGACTCACAAGAAAAGTGCCGGGCCACTTAGAGTACTTTAGTTTGTGTATATTGAAGAGTTTGTTCAAATAAAGTCTCCTTGGCAGTTTTTTGCTTTCAAAGTGCCCAAGTCTCACAAGCCACCTGGATAGAGGTAGGCCTGCTGCAATGTGCCTCTACCGCCTGCTAGACCCTCAAGATGTCAGAGGCTTGCTTTAAAGATGTGTTCCAAAACCTCTCTTTTCTTACATATTCTCTGTTGTACCCGAGATCAAAATATGAACGTGCTGGTGTTTGAAAGGTATCGGCTTCAGGAGCCAAGGGAGCAAGCTTCCAGCTGTTTTCCCCCTCCTCTCTGAAACTGTCCTTCAATCAACCACAGTCAAGAAGGCAGAAAACTTGGCTTCCTCTAGATTTACTGAACCGAGGAAGGTCTTCCTGCTGTGGAAATGAAGAGCACAGAGGCACATGAAAGTATAACTCTTGTATAGTAACCCAAGAGCCAGGCTGCCACGACACAGAATTTTTGGCAAGCACAGGGCACAAGGGAGGTTACAGCCTGGACGGGACGCTAGTCCGCAAACACACACACAAGCCACAGTATGTCTTTGGCCTGTGGGAGCAAACTGGAGCACCTGGAAGAAACCCACGGGAACATGAGGAGAACATACGAACTCCACACAGACAGCACCCCAAGGACTGAACACCGGCCCTCAGTGCTGCAATGTTAACCACTGTACCACCCATTCTATGCATTTATATTAATCTCAAGCTCAGACATACAGATACTTTGTATTCTCTATTTGATTTAAACTGGTGAATCAGCTGGCTTTCCTATACCCTCCTTCTGAAGGGTGTTGTAACTGAATTCGATCTCCTCACATGCTGGGGGATTTCGAAAGTACTTTTTCAGGGAAGTGGTTGGCTCATACCTCTCTCCGGCACACGAGGCCTGGTTCGGGGTGGATGCCGGATCTCGGACACGTACTGGTGGTCATTGTCCAAGTCCAGCTTTCTCTTCACCTGCGCCGGAATTGGGAGAGACAAGTCAGTGGCGGGTACATGACTTGAAACCGGGGAAGCACACTGAGGGTATCTAGACCCAGAGGAAAAAGCAACCTGGAGCGGCCTGACAAAATTGTAACAGAGTTGGACCCCCCCCTCCGCCCAACCCACCAGCTGCCTAGCTCTACCTTCAACACAACCCCTCATCTCAGCTGTTCAGTCACTCAAGTTTTCTGCATGGGTCTGGAAACACAGAGCAGGGCACCGTCAACTTCATACTTTCATGGCACTTGCTGAAAAAGCACAGCACGTTAAATACTGGAGAGCACAAAACTGACACAGGATGATCTGATCATGTGCATAACATTAATGTTTAAAGAATCGCACGTCCCTAAAGGCAATTCATCTTTCTGGTGTCAATTTTCTTAACTATAAAACAAACTTCGCATTAACTGATTTCTCACACAGCGCCAGCATCACGGTTCTACATTTGCTGTGCGAACTGTAGCCTTGTCCTCATGCAGATTCCCTTGGCCACACGGACAGAAAAGTCCTGACCAACCTGCAGCTCGCCCAACACACCAACAAACTACCAGTTTAAACTACTGTCGTGGAAGAATGACAGGCCACCACCAATCCTCACTGTGCCTCATCAGTACCCTTATAACTGCTGTTATTATATCCTCAGAAAAACCATCAAAACACAAAACAGGGCATTATTGCACCACTCCACGAGCGACAACCACAAAAATCAATGACCAGTTTTACGCTTCCTGACAATCCTCAGTAACAAACATGCCTGGCAATATGTTTTTTTTTTTACCCCCAGTCTAGTAAAAACGCCATTGGCACAATGATGACCTGTTGATTTTCATGAGCGTTATATTTTTGAATGAACTGTGAGTCTTCAATAAAAGATTCAACAGCCACTTCCCACGACTAGACCATATGCCCATATATATCGGACTTTATCCATCTGCGCAACAGATGAGCAGCCTCTTGCATTTACAAGTTGTATTTCTGTCCGGGGGACAGAGAGGCCCTTACCGGAGGGCGTCCCAGGACCGGCCGGCGCTGCTCGTCCTCCGGGGCAGGTCCCTGCGGGGTGGCGAACAGCAGGATCTCCGCCGCGCCGCTGGAGCCTGCGGGCTGGATCTCCACATGCGCCGGCGTGGAGATAATGACAATCTGATCCTCATTCAGCTCAATACTTCCCGATCCCAAAATGGACTCAAAGTCAGCCAGAAGGTCCTCCGAAGTCTGACCTGTGACCACTGTCTCGGACATGGCCTTCCGCGGGTCGGCTGCCCGTTTCCCCCCCTTCTTTGCCCGGCTCGGATTGTGGCAGTAATTGAGATACTTTAGTGGCAAAGCTTCATGTCTCCGCGTGGAACAATGGTAAAAACAGGAGTACAACCGGAGCCATTATCTTAAGAGTAATGTTAATTTTCGCGAAGTAAACCTGCCTCACTGTACCTACAGGGTGTATATCCTAATAACACATAAAAGCCAATTGCTGAACCCTGGCATTCGGCTACGTGTAATTACAGTCTGTGGGTGCGCAAGTGAAACATGTTTGGTATAGCTCAGGACCTGTAATTGCAACGCACAACAAAGACTCAAGAGAGCTCCACTGCTAACTACAGGCCCCTAGTCTGCCTCAAACCAGCCTGACAGAAAGCGGTCGAAACAATAAATCAGTATAAAATGCGAAAGGCCACAAGTTTAACTTTAAAAAAACAGACTTTTCCCATATCATCAATTTCGTTTTGAATCATACACCCGCCTCTGAGTGCGAACAGGATTTTTACATTTTAGATTCCCTACATTTTACATCAGTCCAGTAACGCAATCATTGTATAATCAACTATACATTTTCTTATCGCATGCATCTATGCATCTTAATGCGAACTGTTAAGGTCCCTTAAAAAACACACATTCTCAACTAAGTTCTTCACTAAGCCTCTGTAAAAACCCCGTGCAACCGCACGATCTTTCTTTCGGTTTTCAAGTTCTCCGGAGCACCCTGCCCTTTGTCCCAGCTCCGTCTGCGCCTTACGATCACAAATCGATTCGATATCAATACAGTCCATTCGTGTCTGCGAAATGCACAAAAATAATACTGTCCATCTTAATGATCTCTAGAGCATGAATGCTTTGATTCCATATATTCTAAAAAATTTTGGTGCTTCTTCATTTAAATTCCATTTTCAAGTTTAGCGCAGCGCATTTTGTCTTTCAGCAGACATAAATCTGAAATCAAAAGGTGTATCAAGAACATCCCGAGGGCCTTGTCCACTCAGTTATATGCTCTCGTTCTGCGGCCGTTTCTTTCCATTGATCTAGGCGAAAATAAAAGCACACCCCTGTTTTTGAGCTAGTATTCAGGAAGCAGAAAACAGCGTAATCCTTCATACGCGTAAAAGCAGATGTTTTCCAACAACCCAAAATGCCAAACAACGAAAAATTCCCCAGCATAAATTCAGGAAAAAAATAGTCCTTAAGAAGTGAATGTATGGTACTTTCCGCAACAGAACCCCCGTCGCCCCATCTACAACTTGTTCTTGTTATTGTTATTGTTGTCCCAGCTGATCAGACAAGAGCTGGGGATTTGCGCGCCAAATCTTTTTTGCCGCGAAACTTGCACGTGTGCTAACCCCGCCTCCGGATTGGTGGAGCTCTAGGAGCTCTGCACTGACGGGGCGGCACCTACCCTTTTATTGGCTCCACCCACACCCCCCCCGCGAAGGGCAGCTGTGCTGGAGAGCAGGAAGGTGATGGGTCTGTGTGCGGGTCTTCACTCACTGAGGTCGAGCACAAAGGAAATTCTTGCAGAAATCACAGGAGTTTAATGTCACTCGTGTGAGATTATAATCACCCCCTCTGAAAAACGTGGCCTTCCGAAAATCGCAGCAATCCGAAACAGAATTATTTAACGTGCTGTGTGTAGACTCCTAAACTGTGAACGATCCAGGTTTTCTTTCCAGTACGGAATTTGCCGAAACGTAAAAATGTGATATTTTGAACAAGCTTGTGACTAAATCACAAAACGTTCCGATTCCTTAAACATTTACTGGACAGACCCACAACATGCCAAGGAACAACTGCCAAGCCAAGATATTGAAGCCAGAACTCCCATGAACCTCAGGAAGATGCTGGCTGGGTCTTCTGAGACTGATCAGCCACTGCAACCTAAACAAGTACCTAAGGGTTGAAAGTTTGCTCATTTATAAGATAAGGCTACTTTATTGGCCATAAACAATTTCTTATATTACAAATTTGTCTTTTTTCAAATACCACAACTTGCTCTCCATGAGACACAGAGACAGGGAGAGAAGCTAGGGGTCAGAACCACAGGATTCGAACCCACAACCTTCCAGCCGCAAGCACACAGAGCCACCACACCACCCCTGCGGAGCCCCTGCACTGTTCATCAGTCCTGCATACTACTGGCAGCACAGATAAGGGGCCCAGCCCTGCATGTCTTTACAGACTAGAGCATGAACGTGTCTGCTTCAGATTAGACACTATTGCTAGAGAGAACCAAGCAATTCACTTTCTTTTTTGCCAACAATAAGCTTACATAGAATTTGAAAGTAAATAGGAGAACACACAAATGACAACATTACTTTATATCTGTACACTAGGGATCCTATTATTTTCAACAGCCAACAAAGAGAACAAATGCACTGTAGGGCTTTAAAAAATTTATTCTGAGCAGTTTATGTTATTTACATATACTAAGCAAAATTCAATATACATGGCATGCATTCAGTGATGAGTCAACACTTAGAAAGTGCCTTTTATATACAACATTAAAAGGAAATCATTGTCACTTTGTTTCAGTATTATATTTGATGTTCACTCAGATTCTGTAACTTGGATAAAAGCTTTGACTTTAAACAGCGATGATCAGCACGGTTACTCTTAACATGATCTCAGTTTGCTTCTCATTAAGGATTGGATCCTTAATTTAAAAATAAACAGGTTTAAAAAAAGACTGCTGTCACAGATTGCAAAACATACTCAAGAGTCATAGATCAAGAGACACAGAACCAGTCCAGTTCACCTGAAACTACAATTCCTTACAGTACTCAGGACAGAATAAGGAATAGGCAGACCTGGGCTGAAAAAGAGAAACTTATTTAAAAATATTGGATATTGTGCGTTTCAATGTTCAGTGGTAATACTCTGCAAAAGCAACGTTTTAGCTCACTCAGACAAGCTTTAAAGTCAGGGGTCTCCTAACACTGTCCTGTAGATTCACCAGTTATTTTGGGGGGCTGTCCTTCCTTCTGAAATGTTGAATAACTTAAGTGATTAAACAACAAATTAGCACAAGGCAGCGTGTTTTCTGGGTTTTAACCAAGCCAGCCCTTTCATGCCCACACTACAACAGAAAAAAAAAAATTCTACAGTACAATTGAGAAGCAAATCATTTCAAAGCTCAGAAACCCCAAATTCCAAAACGACTGTTGTGAATCTGAGTTTGCAATGTAGATATAAAAAATCACTTCTATTGTTGTTACCCACATGAAAGAGAAGATGGAATGGTTTATTATTCTATTATAATAAAGTATAACTATTGATATAAATAATAGTATTCTATTAATAAAAAAACTGTTCAGTGAAGCTTCATATGTAGTGCATTTGAGAACTTGATCCAATTTAAAAAAACTGATAACCTATATTTACCATCCTGCCTTATCATGCCATGGGAGTTTTGTTCTTATGTTAAGATATAGTCCTATTATTTTTATGCCCAATATGATTAAAGACAATTATTTCATTTAAGAACTATCATGACAGAATAAAGTTACTACTGTTGATTAAAACTTCAAAGAATTACAATTGAAGAATCAAAATCATGATTCTGTCATGCATCAAAACTAATAGCAGTAACATTTTCACCCGTTATAGTGAAAATGTGAAAAACAGAAAAAATATTAACCATTCTATACCATAGGCTTAACGTGTCACAGTGATTTAAGAAAAAAACTTAACTGTTTACAAGGTTTTAGTAATTCTGTAAGTGCAAAACTAAGGAACAAAGTGTACACTGTACACTTTTACTGTATTACACAGAACTTGCAAACAAATAACTATTAAGAAAGTAAACTGTAAACAGTATTTTTAAAAATACACAGCCAAATTAAACTACAAGGACCTTTTCTCGATGAGTGACTGGAAACCTTATGGAAAACAGCACGTACATTACAGTACTATCTGCTGGTCTCAGGGTTAATATACAGTATACGTAGAAATTGATAAACACCTAGGACAAGAAAAAACTGAAGGATGTTTTGGCATATCTTGAAAATAAGCTGACATTCCATTATTCAATCATAATGTTAGAAAATATTCATGCACATTACACAGCTGCTCTGGAAAGGCAGCCCTCTTCAGAGATCATCAGGAAACAGCTGCAATTTCACTCTGAAGTTAGTCAAATATAAAATCTAAGAAGTGCTGGAGGCCAGTTTTGCTTTCCCACCTCTAAGGGAATGGAAATGTCTTCTTTGAGAATGTATTGAAAAGAGGTGAGGTCCAAACCACCTCCCCCCACCCCAAGAAAATTCCAATTCTAATGATATTAAATAATTCTAAAGAGATGGGGTTTAATGATGGAAGACCAAATTGACATCCATTTTTCCAGACTCCTCTGAAATGTACAGCTGGGTCATAAAGGTCTTGCTAACCCACTCACAATACACATTTAGTAAATAGACTTTCAGCTATGCAAAACAAGCCCAAGACCAAAGGGGAAACAGTAGTACGAACATTCTTCTAAAAAGGCTGGATTTTCCTGAACTTTCATCTTAACTGATCTGAACTGCCTGCAAGAGAACCCGACAAGCCCGTCCCAGATAAGGGTCCAAGCTGCTGGAAGGTTAGTTCTGAGCCCCAGCCCGGGGCTTGTTGTACAGGAGGAAGTCAGAGATGTCATGCCAGGTGTTGCTGTCGTGGTAGAGGTAGTTCATTGAGGACTGGAGTGAAGGCTGGAGAGTATGGGGGTAGTACTCGAAGAGCCACAGCACGATGCCCCACACCAGGGTTGCGAACAGAGGGAAAGGATCTCTCTTCGGCTGGGGGATGTAGCCCTTCTCTACAGCCAAGCGAGACAGAGCAAACAGGATCCGGGACAAAAGGTACATGTTTATCTGTGGAGAATGAAAGCAATGTACCATATTGCACAGCTCACAATCTGACAGCCTTCAAATAGTAATGCATTCTTCCTTGTAGTGTTCAATTTTCAAATATAGTTCTTGCACCGTCCCCCTTTTAATAATAATTCCTTACAATTCATATAGAGCTTTTCTGCATACTCCACTCAAAGCGCTTTACAGATAATTTGCGACTCCCCTCCACCACCACCAATGTGCAGTCCCACCTGGATTATGTGTCGGCAGCCACAGCGCACCACAACGCTCACCACACACCAGCTATCAATGGGAAGGAGAACAAAGTAATAAAGCCAGTTCATAGATGGGGATTATTACGAGGCCTTGATTTATAAATGCCAATGGGAAATTTGGCCAGAAAACCGGGTTTACACCCCTACTCTTTTCGAGAAACACCCTGGGATTTTTAAAGACCACAGAGCAACCTTAGCTTTCCAAGGAGGTCTCCCATTCAGGTACTGGATAGGATCACACCTGCTCAGCTTCAGTGGGTCACCAGTTGTAAATTGCATGGTGATATAGCTGCTGGGAAGTTCTTAAAATGAGTTTAAAAACTCATTTCCACATTGCCCATTTTCCTCTTAACTGGATTTACAATCATGTACAGTTGTGCACGTTTATAAAAGCATTCCTTCTCACTGGCCATTTTAATGCCTGCTCCAAACTTGGTTGTATACAGAAAGCAGGAAAACTTGCAGATCATTAGACTGTACAATAACAACTAAACATTTTTTTTCCCTCAACCTCTTATATTTCAAGTGTGGGGTCAATCTTTTTTCTAAATTTTAAACTTAAAGTATCTTGTTGTGTTCTATATCTAACCGTGGTTAAGACCTGGGTTTCAGGCTACGACTCATGAGCTCACATTGAGAGAAGGGGGATCCACAGATGTGCTTTCCACAGATGTCATGCCTGTCTTTCAGAACAGTCCCATCTTATGACACGCTGCAAGGCTGCAGGTGTCTGTGGGCCAAAAGTCTACCGAGTGACCAGTAAGTCTAGGTAAGGCATTCACAAGCTCCTTTTCCTTTTAATATGGGGATATTTCTTTTCATTTTACATCCCCCAGAACATCTTAAAGACCACAAAAACAAACCAGCATGCCCAGGTTGATTTTATGCAATTCACAACAATGACAATCTTCTTTAGTGCCTCATCATTCTAAGCCATCCCCGCGATCCTTGCAATACACTACCAACTATTCCAATTTCCCAGCTAGCACAGTCAATCCATATGTGGAACAGATGATCACCCGGATTACCGAGAGAAGGTAAAATAAATTTACTGCTAAATTTGCTTTTCCAAATTTAGTATAGCGCAAAGAGTATATTTTCCATACAGGTTGTCATTGTCCCAGGAGCCTGAACGACTTCTTCTCTTGTAGAGCAAGCAAAATTCTCCTCCATTATAAGCAGATCAAGATAAACATCTTTTGTTTTGTGCAATGCCAATTCAGCCATCTCTGAATACAGTTCCAGACATAAACTGCTGAGATTCACTTATTTTTTGTGCATCATCAACATTGTTTGTTAAACTACACTTAATTATATTCCTTTTAAGGTTCACACATTCATCTTAGATCATGGTAATTAAGGTATTCTTGTAACCAACATGTTAGATAATATCAGATAAGATGTTCCTGTAGGTTCAGCTGGTCTGCAAACTGATGTCTGAACTGTAAGTTGGAAAAAGGCAACCTTCTGGTTCACAGATGTAGAGTGAGAAAGGAAAGGCGCTGGTCACCTGGCTGTTGATGTGGTTATTGTCTCCAAAGACCAGCCAGCCCCCCAGGCAGGCGGCCAGGAAGGAGTGGTAGTGCTGACTCTTCCCCTGCAGGCGCTGCTGTATGGCCTGCAGCCCCTTGTAGGTGAAGACGAAGCAGGCCAGGTTCCGCGAGTGGGTGTACGTCGCCTGGGTGATGGCTTTCAGTTTGTCCCTCAGGCTGTCACAAACATTTTTTAAAAGAACATATGGTTTTCTGTTTTCTTATTTTTATTCTTAACTGTATTACCTGCTAAAGCTTTCATTAAGAATACACTTATTTGAGAAAGTCAGACTGTGAGACTGTAATCAAGCTCTGTGATATTTATGTTTCACAGTCTTATAACACTGATATCCAAGCTGCATACCCATTTAATCAGACATAAACTGTGGTAAACTTGTGGTAAAGCTAGACCTTGGCTATATGTAATGTCTATATGACAGTAAAGAGATATTAACAGATTCAGTATAAAATCACAGTCCGATCTGAAGTTTACTTCAAAGTGAACCTTTTAATCTGAATTTTAATTTAATTTAATTGATGAGAGGGATAGGTCAGAGGAAAAAGGGAATTATGTTGGTTATTTTTGAATATTGCATTGTTTGCCCCTCCCTCCTCCAAAAAATGATTAAAATTTTAATTGTTATATAAAATATGTGCACGAACCCTAAGAGCCAGTTTACTAGCAACCTTCACAGACACCCCAATCGATGCCCATATGGGTAGAAAATGTACGGCAGGTTTGAATGAGCAAGTGAGTTTTCCGGGTACCTTCCACTTCTAAATAGAAACGTCATCACTAGGGCGTGAGGCGCTCGGATCTTCGCTCCATATCTGATTAAAAACACAGAACAGTTATTACACAAAAGCTAAGCGGTATAAAACCTCTGAGACGGCTATCATGTTTTCACAAAACACGCAGCAAAACAGTGTTCCCGACATTTGCTTCATTCTATATTCACTTTGTTCACTTTTTTCTTTCAATATTTTCAATAAAGGCGGGGTCAAAGGCGAAGGTTAAAGGTTATTCATCTACGATCACAGGTAAGTATAACTGAAAGTTTAGCTGGTATGCAAACTGTTTCCAGTTAAACACAAACATAAAAAAACGAAATTATACACAAAGATGATGCCAATGTTTAAATAACGTCTGAGTGCCGTGAATTTTCGAGACGCATTACGCAGCTTCTCTTCTGTGCATATTAGAGATGTACAGCACTTCAATAAATCTGCAAAACAAAGAGGCATGAAGCCAGACGTGCAGTCAACAGCCAAGACAACTGAAAGCTAAAGACAATTGATTTCACATACACATCAAATGATCAACATTCACACATATTCACGTTTTCAAACCATTCAAAAAACAATTTCCAATGCACTTACACAGCTCCATTCCTAAATCCTTTAACCACCGCAAGAGCCGTCTTATACTTCTGTTGCTGTAGCAAGTTGTTAACTGTGTAAATAAGAGTTTTGAAAAGGTCAGAACCTGCCATGGCTCGCAAGCAGACTTGGGGACAGTAATTAATTGCAACACAACCGGCATTAAAAAGGCACAACTCGTATTCAATCACGCTCTGCAACTAGGTGCTCAGAGATTGGTTCCTAGGATCTCGAGTCACAACTTCAGGGAGAATTGCCATTTCAAGTAAAAGTAAAGTAGTTAGTTTTGCTGTAATATATAATCTGGGAAATAACAGCCAAATCGCGTCCTTCATTGTCTATACACAGTAATAAGTTCAAACGGAGCTTTCATTCACAGAGATGCACCTGCGTGAACAGAAAAGAAATAACGAATCTGATTAAATATTATGTTTTGTGAGTTTTAACATCCCTTTGAGAAAATAATAATAATAATAATAATAATAATAATAATAATAATAATAATAATAATATGGCTTAACAAACAAGTAAGACAAACGTTTAATTTATTTCCGGGGCGAGAAACAAAAATACCGTTATTAGAATTCCTATTAATGTAAATAAATTATTTGTACACAAATACAGTGCATGCATGAACTACAACTCTTTCGTGGCTGTTTAACTTAACTTTCATTGTTACCAAATCTCATTTTAAGATACCGAGCAACTGCTAAACCCAAGGACTGGACCGTCTTATTCTGTGCAAAGCTGCCCCGCACTTTGGAAACTGTAGTTTAACTTGGACTTCATCCGCCCCCTGGTGGTTATGAGATTACTCGTACCTTCGTTGATTTCCCGGCATGCCAAATTGATACAGTACTACAAGATGGCGCAGGCTATATTTGAAGCGTTAGAAGGTAATTTATAAACTATTTACACCAGATGTTCCCCTTTGTTTCAATAGCGGAAACGCCGTTTTTGAAACGTCTTTGCTCCTTTTGTGCAACCCCTGTGTTTCCAGGCTACCAGACAGCGTACCTGCGCGGCAGACCTGGCGGAAAAGTGCGCAAAGTACAGTTTTGCAGTATCTCTGATATGGCAACGAAAAGAAAGACGCTTTCGCTGGAAAAACTATATTAGCATGCAGCTTCGTGTGGGTTTTAACGAATGTGGGATTCCGGTGCGCTGGTTTCGTTCATGTGGGTGTGATAATTCTTGGTATCCGTGTAGGAGAAGGGGGGGTATGTGATGCTGAAACAACAGCCGCTGGAGAGGGATTGTGAAAATGGCAGGAAGGAGACAGGCATGTTGTTGGAAAAGCTGCTGCAGATCGATGCAGCATCCCCTTAGAAAAAAAAAAACACGCTAGGGAGTCCGTGTGGAGATAGCCGTTTTAAAGCCAGACCATGGGTCCAGTGACGTGTGGCCACTTTCCCTTCTGTCTTATTATGCGACAGGGAAGAAATTTGATTGGCGTTTTTCCTCGTTTCCCAGGTGTTACTGGAACTTCACAAGCTCAACATATGCCACCCAAGGACATTTTTGCGGAGACTAATTTAAATCGGTTAGAATTGCATTTCGAGTTATTAAGAAAATATTGTTTTGCCTGTTTCTTTCATTCAAACACTAACTTTTGCCATAATATTTTCTGAAGGCTTTAATATTTATTGAAATGTTTTTCAAGACATCTTGATATTCATCTCCGCTAAGGATAACATCAGAGAGTTGGTTAAACCATGGCACAGTGTGATATTAGAGCCCACCTGGAGCACATGCTACACTTTACGATACCATATAAAATGTAGGAACAGATACTTAAATAATATACGAGACGAAAACATTTAAGGGACAGCAAGCTTGTAAAATGTAAATCTGTGTCCTGCTCCTTGAAGGCTACTGCTCTTTTCTCAGTTATATTCCAAACTTCTTCCACAGGCATGGACAACCAGACAGTCCTGGCTGTTCAGTCACTATTGGATGGGCAGGGGGGGGTCCCAGATCACACCAGTCAGAGTGTCTCTGGCACTGCCACCATACAGTCAATGGGTGAGTGCAGCGTTGGGGTGCCCTGGCCCAGAGCACTGGGCAGTGTTCATAAGAGCTCCTTACCAGCTGGAAGTGTGCCTTTCAAGGCTGGCTAAAGTTTTGCAAAGGAACAGGTAAAGGTTTATTCCATGTTGAAAGGAAAAGAAGTGACAACATTTTGGCTGTGGAGCCTTCTTCAGGTAACTATTTTTTATGGGAAACATCATTTCTTAAGTTAAAGGAAAAGTAACTGACAATTGAGTTTGCATTTATCAAGGATGTGACATACTTGTTGTTTGGCTCTGGGTTTTCTGATCGTTACAGTTGCCTGATAAAATTGTCAATCCTTTGACAGAAGAGATTTTGTAACATCTGCTTGCGTTTCTGCTTTAATCGCCCAAAGTCCGAGTGCTGTGTTCACACTAAATGAAATGAGAAACAGAGGCTTGAGGACCCAGCTCCTGGGAGTCAGGCTTCCAGCACTAGGCCGTTCTTTGCCCTGGTGCCAGCCTAGGCCTGACGCGTTTGTCTGTGTGCCAGCAGATGACGAGGACGTGTTTCTGTGCGGGAAGTGCAAGAAGCAGTTCAACTCGCTGACCGCTTTCATGACGCACAAGCGTGAGCAGTGCCAGGCCAGCACCCCCTCCTTGGCCACTGTGTCGCTGGCGTCCAGCAACTCCTACACACCCGTCCCCTCCATCAGCTCTGTGCCACAGACCCCCGCCAGCAGACAGGTAGGGGAGGCAGAGTTCCCTTCTCGTTCACAAACCCAGTCCCGTTCAAACGTTCTCTCTGTCATCAGAGGAAGAACACCATGAATTTTCAGCAGCAGGTGTTTGAGATACTCAAGGCTTTGGCTGCAGGAAACCCAGAAAAGTTTCCTTTTATGACACTATTGACGTCAGTGCACTAAGCACAACAACACCCTTAATCTCTAGAAACAGGACTTGTAACTTACATTGCTTTAGGCTATGGACCACATGTTTTTAAACACTGATACATGAGAGATTTTAGGCTAGAAAAGTCAACAGTCATCTTGATAATGAGGGACAGATCTCATTTGAGCACATTATACCATAGCACTTTCACAGGCTTATCTTATAGGAGTGCTCCTCAACTGGTTTACATATGAATGTCTTTTTCTTTCTACCGCAGCAGTAAAAAGAAATAATAAACCCAAAATAAGTAAAAGTTATCTCAAAGACAATAACAACCTTTATTTAATATAAGAAGTTCAAGTTGGTAGCTACATTAGCATGCTTAGGCTGCAAAAGAACAGGTAAGGGTTAATTCCATGCTGAAAGATAAGGAATCTTCACCCGAGGAAGGCTCCACAGCAGAAACAGTTTCTTTCCTTACCTTTCAGCATGGAATGGACCTTTACCTGTTCCTTTATTTAATATGGTGCATTTCATGATGCTTCATCTCAAGGCACTGTACAGTAGAGAGGCATGCACAAATTAAAATAGTAAATTAAACAGAATTAAATGCTAGAGTATAAAACAGGGTTTGGAAGTGCTTACCGATTTGCAAGTTCAACTAATTTGAACACAGAAAGTGCTATTATTCTAAAACAGTGCAACATATAAGCACAGAAATACCCAGAAATAAAAGGTGACATTATGTACTTTTGCTTCATATAACTGGAGTTATGCAACAAAAATAGCAATTTTAACTTCAGGAGCCCAATACTTATGGAGGACACTGTATGTGAAATGCTTTGAAGATGAAAAAAAGATGCCTTCTCAACTCTGAGCATGTGAACTGCAAAGCTCACATCTGAAATGACGCTAAGAATCTTCAGCTGTGTACTTGGATTGATTCCATTACCATCAGCAGACAAACTCAGGTTGACACATTTGTGTAGTTGATAAGGAGAGGCAGTCAATGTGACTTTGGTATTGCCAGAGTTCAGATGTAAAACATTTTGTTACATTTTGTTGATGTAACATTGTGTAAGCAGAGTAACAAGGCAGATCATGCTCGTTTAATGCATGATGCATGACAACACAAACATGTGTGTGATAAATATAGAAATGAAAGCTGATGCCATACCTATGAATAATTTGACCAGAACATTGTTGTTAAAAGGCAATACTATATATTCTATGTAGTTCTAGATGTATAGTTTTTGTCTAATTTATAGATTATACATTCCACCAGATATAAAACATCTTTGTCAGGTATGTCATGTTTCAATAGTGATTTGCTGCACTTAGGAATTGAGCAGTATTATTTTAACACGTTTTTTAGGTTTTCAGCTACAGCCGTTGCTGTGGTAGGGGTAAATGTTACTCTAGGTGACATTCAGTCTATTGCCTGAGTTGCATCATATTGTATTGTTGTCTGCTGGGATATGCCGTTTATAGACTGCAGTGTATTCTAGTACTTTTAGTAAATACTTATGTTGCTCTTATTCTCTTATTTCTGTGTCAGTATTTTGAGTTTGATTTTCATGTTCCCTATATGTCACAGCATACTGTTCTTCTCTATAGTAAAATATCTCAGGTGGGTAGCTGCATCAGCATGCGTAGGCTGCAAAGGAACAAGTAATTGGTTTATTCCATGCTGAAAAAAAGAAGAGAGAAAACACAACGTTTTGGCCGTGGAGCCTTCTTCAGGTGTGTGAAGAACACACCTGAAGAAGGCTCCATGGCCGAAACGTTGTGTTTTCTCTCTTCTTTTTTTCAGCATGGAATAAACCTATTACTTGTTCATATAGTTAAATATGTTGCTTTGTGTTCCCATTTCAGGTAGGAGTTGTTTAATATAATGTAGATTTAAACATGTTGCCTGTTCATTTAGCTGTGATGGTGGCATGGGGAGGGAGTGGTGAAATCCTGGGGATTTCTTTATCAAAGAAGCATTCTGGACTCTGGTTAGACAGGAGTTCGTGGGATCAGATCCAGCTTGGATAAAAGATAAATATGGGGCGCTTGTGTGTGTTTCAGGAGACCAGCAGTTGAGGATGAAAGGGTACAGTTCTTACCTTTGGTGTTGCAGTAAAGAGCACATTCTGAGCTGTTGTAACTTAGGTCTAATCCTCCTCAGGAGTCTTAAACCAGGGCAGTTAGTTTTCTTAAATACTGTAGAAAGGTGCTGTCTTTCGAATGAGACGTAAAACCGAGGTCCTCTCTATGGTCATTAAAAAATCCCAAGGTGTTTCTTGAAAAGAGTAATGGTCTTCGGTGTTCTGGTCAAATTTCCCCCTGGCCTTTACCAGTCATGGCCTCCTAATAATCCCCATTTCTGAACTGGCTTCATCATTCTGTTGTCCTCCCCACTGAGAGCTGGTGTGGTGAGCATACTGGTGCACTCTGGCTGCTGTCGCATCATCCAGGTGGGGCTGCACACTGGTGGTGATGAAGTGGGGACCCTATTACCTGTAAAGCACTCCGAGTGGAGTGTCCAGAAAAGCACTGTGTAAGTGTAAGGAATTATAATCATTTTCCAGAGGTGGTGAGCACAAATTCTAAAAAGCTAGTAAGAGCTTTGAACAGTCAGTAATGAACCACTGAGATCCAGTCAGTGATACACCATTAACTCTCCGTTATGCTGCAAATACTGCCTTGTTACAGGTCAGCACTCACTTAAGATATGTTCTGGTACTAATCAACTACTGTATGTGGATTAATAATCTATGTGTAAATGGCATACACCCCAGTTTTCTAACCAGTTTTCTATTAGCTTTAAGAAACATTTATACAAACTATATTTCTGTTTCTGCACTATTATCTATTCTATTATCTTTCTGCACTGGAAAGCATTTTCACTTTGTGTTTTTGCCTGCTGCAGGTGTCCACCTACATCACCGTTCCCCAGTCCCCACTCACTCACACCCTTGTCCAGGGGAACGTGCTGGTCAGCGACGACGTCCTGATGTCAGCCATCTCTTCCTTCACCTCCATGGACCAGCCCATGAGCGCCATGCAGCCGCCCATCCAGGTGAGCATGCAGAACCGTGCAGCCGCAAGGCACAGGATAGAAACAAGACACAAAACATCTGTCTGATAATGAAAACCATATGTATGGGCAAGTCATGCGTGATCTGTAATGATTTGCCTTGCAGAAGAATTCAGGTTCGCTTTATTGCAGGATGCTTGTTTAAGGATACCATCTCTTCTACTTTAAAGGAATTCAGAAAAAAAAACATTTAAAATTTTAAATGAGACACTCGCAATCAAATATTTCTCTGTCTTATTATGAACTGTGAAACATACAAAAATAAAAAGACCGGATCAGTTTAGGAATCTTATTGGAACTGTTCTGGATTTGTGCGAAACTGTGTAGCGTTTGCATGTTCTCTTTGGATGAGTAGTTGTGCTCTGGTTTCCTCCCACCTCCCATACACATTTGGGATTAATACCTTATGATCGATCCATGCAGGCTATACATGTACCTTGTGCCCTGTGCTTCCAGTGTGGCTCAGGGTTGCCTGACCAGGAATAAGAAGCATCCTGATAATGGATGGATTAATACTATATTTTTCTAACATACTCCTGGTAATTATTAGTAGTATACTGATCTAGGCACCTCATAACACAGATGTAAAATCTTTATCCACAGGTTGATCGGAGTATGTCTGGGTCTTGTTTTTGCAGAGCAATTTGAGCATGCATACAGGTGCGTCGTATCTCCAGCATCCCCCGCCCCCTCCTCATCCGCACCCGCATCCACATCCACATCCGCCACCACCCAGCCACCCGCAGCCCCTCTCCTCACAGGTGCAGGCCAATAACAGCAGCTCTGTGGTGCAAGTGTACAGCACATTGCCCCCTCTGGCAGGGAATGGAAGTGCAGAAGTTCAGACACTGGCCTTGCAGCAGTTCCAGCAGGTACTGATCCTCTCTCCTTGCTTACAAGACTCTGTTTACACCATACTATAGTATATCGCCTTTTTCCCCATGTTTTTGCCACCAACTTTTAGAGAGAAGTAGAAATGTGACAATACATGGGGTTCCTGTTTACAGGCCCCATTAAGGATATTAAAACAGGTACATTAAGCAAATCAATGTTAATTTTAAAATAATTTTTAGTTGTAGCTTCATGTACACACAAAGGTGAGAGCAACACAGCAAATGGATTTAAATTTGACTTATATGTAAAGTACAATTCTACATTTAAGTTACATGAAATAGAGTGCATGTGTTAATTAGGGAATTCTAATACTGTAGAGAGTAAAATGACTTATTTAAACTTCTTTATCAATGTAGTCTACTTGTGCTTCTCGATGTGTCTTTGAACTGCTCTATTAGGGTGCTTTGCGTTCAGAGGACTAAAGAAAATTACATCTCAAACAAAAACAGTTACAAAATAATACAGTAATAAAGTTTTGCAATGATTTTACTAGATGTTTGCCTTTTTTACGCATTAGACTCCCTTTTTAGGGTGATGTTTATGTCCTTTGGACTTAAAGTGGAGGAAGTTTTACATCCCACAGTCACAAAAAGTCAATGACAAAGTGGGGACCCCCTGTATCTGAATGTTATTCACCAGTTTGTAATCGAACCTGTAAGCCTTGTGTGGCCTTGGTCTGAAGTATACTGGATGCTTGCCAGTTCTCTTGAGATACTGGGATCCCCCGGTTAATTCACAGGCAGCAATTCCCTCATGGGTGCTGTTGTAAGTGAGGACTTACTTATTCTCCTCTTCTGTAAATGTAAAGCAGTTCCTCTGAAAGCAGTAGTAGAATTTTGTCACCATTGTGCCAATATCAGTACAAGACTGTTACAGTGTGTCTATTCATACAGCAGGTCCTAACTTCAAAAAGAAAAAAAAAGAGAATTTGACAGTTAGTTTGCTTATAAGTAAATAGTTTGGGGAACTTTTAACATGAAGTACCTGGCTTTAATTCCTAGTAAATGCTTACAGGTGTCCAGCCAGTGTGTGGAGAGCCAGGTGTTTACCACACCCCCGGTCTACAGTCCTGGAAAACAAGGATTGAAGACGAAGACCAGTAGCATCACCAACTCCCTGAACAACAGCAGCCCAGCGGAGCTAGGCAGCTTTGACCAAACCGCCAAGGCACGGCGGCCCAGAAACAGCATCGAAGGACCAGAAGGTAGAGTGACAAAACTTCTCAAATTTAAAATCATAGCTCCTGTTTAAAAATCCAACAAACTGCAGCATTTTATCAGCAGGGGAGAAATCTGACTGGGATAGAAAGAAGTGTTATAAAGGAGAGATGAGCATTTGGCCCACCTGTCGTATTGGGTTTCTACTAGAAAAGCATTCAGATACCCTTGTCCAGCCTTGCCTTAATATGTCCCAGAGTTTGAGTTCCACCTTAGCTGGGTAGTTCTGTCCCAAAACCAGATGGCTGACTTTTAGAATAAAGAAAGTGATTGCTAGTGTATTGCTGAACGTGCCTTAGGTGTACTTTATTAATACTTTTGAGAATTTTTGAGAATTTAGAAACCTTGAATTGAATCCTCTGGCATTCTCTTTCCTTTTAGGCTAAAGGAAATCTGTAATTGTTTTTTTTAGGCGGTCCCATGAAAGGCAAAGCCCAAAAGCTGAAATGTAATTTCTGTGAGAAGACTTTCACCAAGAACTTTGATCTGCAGCAACATATCCGCAGGTAATGCCCAGAAAAACAGGCAGTGATCAGGTATTCTGGTTCAGAAATAACGTGGTTTTAACAGAGGTGGGTTCCTGATAGTGACATTTTATTTATGTGGTTGATGCTGTATATAAGGGCAGAATTGGGTTAATAGGGAAATAGAGAACTAATAGGAATAATATGAGTAAGCTATAAAAAGCCACAAAAGTATTCCAAGACATTAGCCAATATATTCAGCTACTTACAAAAGATAGTTTATGACTAAAATGGAGCCTAATGCTTGATATGATCTTGTTTCTCGCCACCTTCATCATTGCTGATCTTTTCCGTCCGTGTGATCTGGATAAAATTCCTGCATGAACGTTGTCTGTCAAGCTTATCTTTGTACTCAAGTGCATGGGCCTGGTTTTCACTGAGGGCACATTACCCTTATAATTCATCCACCCTGGAGTGGGCAGATTGTCTGCTGTGAAAATAAAACTAGAGAAATAATTCTGTCCAGATAGAGTGGGGGGACTGATGTGGTCTGTCTTTGATCAGCCACACAGGAGAGAAACCCTTCCAGTGCATCGTGTGTGGTCGTGCCTTCGCACAAAAGTCCAACGTCAAGAAGCACATGCAGACGCACAAAGTGTGGCCCGCGGGCATGGGCACCACAGTGTCCCGTCTGCCCATCACCATCAAGGTGGTGCCAGTGAGCGCTGACGAGGGCACAGGGCAGGCTGGCGAGGAGGAGGAGCGCCACCCAGGTACTGACCAGCCACAGCTCTGCGCAAGGCACAGCCAACCGTTCTTCCAGCCTCTGATATGTTCCTCACATCCTTCTCTGCCAGAGTCACTTTGCTGGTCAAAATCACACTTGCAGGCTTCCGAGTGGGTCGGCCGTTAAAGGCTGTTGTTCCGAGATCAGGCTAAGCTTTATGATCCAGATGTTATGGGTTTCAGCCTGGGTGAGGTCAGTGGTGGCACACCAGGAGTTGGGGTGGGATCAATCAGGCAGGGTTCTCTCAGCTCTTGGAATAACAGCATCTCCTGTGACTTCCATGGTGCCTGCAGGTGTGAGAAGCTCCAGTCCCCCTGTCAGTTCTGAGTCTTGTGTGACAGGTGGGCGGGTCCAAGGAGCTTTGTGCCCTTTTCATGTTGCCCGTGCAGCACTGTGAGCCAAGCCATCAAGAAAACAAAAGGCAATTCCAGTTCGATTACCAGTAATTCAAAGATACATAGTAGCATTACCTAACTTACCAAGAACACATATTGTATTGTTCCATTTTTATTTCTAATAGAACAGGTATACAGGTATAAACAGGTGATATCATCAGAAGGCCATTCATCATGTCACATTTCTTAAAGCTTTTTTCTCAAACAGTGCATCCAGGTCTACAATTCTCTTAAAAAGCACACTTATTTAGCACGACAGGGCAACATATCAAATCAAAATGTCATATCAACTGGTGTCTGTTGGATGTTGTAGGGGAGACAGAGGAGAGGGACAGAGACCCTCATATGGAGATGGACGGCCAGTCCGGTAAAACCGGAAAGTTGCAGAGCAAGCAAATCGTGCTCATCGACAGCTCCTATCAATGCCAGTTCTGTGCCAGCAAGTTCAGCACCTATTTCCAGCTGAAATCTCACATGACTCAGCACAAGAATGAACAGGTAAGTCAGCACCTACATGCCTGGGACTGATGTACTAAAGCAGCTACCTATAGAATAACATAGTGGAATATCATAGTCTGGCTTTCAGAACAGTATATAGTTGAATCATTGTTTGCACCTAGTCTGTGCCACTTGTTCTATACATTGCAAAGATCAATGAAATAGAAATGGTAGGATGATTATTTATTAAAGAAATAGAGAAATTAAATTTCTGAGATTTCTCAGAACAGGTTTATAATATCATGATCGCTTAAACCCCACGTACCATTCAACTATTGCCCTTTTCCTAAAGAAATAATAATTTGATTTCATCCGAGGCCTAGGAGTTATTTCTAAGTCTTCGTCAAAGTTCTGTGAGTTTTTCGAAATTCTCCTTTCCCCCCCCATAAACAAAAATGTCACAACGGGATCATCACTGTGGAAGGCGTATTTCTTGATATCTGTGGCGTGTTTGTGAAATTGGGACAGTCTGATACGTGTTCACAGGGTCAGCTCCCCTGCTGGGCGAGTGTGTCACTTCCTGAGGTCACTGCCTGCCTCTTCTGCAGGTGTACAAGTGTGTGGTGAAGTCCTGCTCTCTGACCTTCCAAAAGCTGGACCTCTTCCTGGAGCACATTCGCACACACCAGGAGCAGCTCACCTACCGCTGCCACCTGTGCAGCAAGGTCTTCCCCTCGCTGTTCGAGCTGGGTGTGCACCAGTACTCACACAACCTCTGCCAGCAGCAGAGCCCTCGCAAGGAGCCCAGCTTCTACAGGTCAGCTCGCCCGCGCCTGGGGTCTGCTGATCACAGCACTATATAACACCACAGCAGCAGTGGTCTACCTCTCATTGATTACTGGTAAATAATTTCTAGCCTTTGCTAGGGGACCTGGTGGCACTGCTTTCTATGGACAGCTTTTTAATTACATGACAAAATGCAAGAACGGAATAAGTAAAGTAAATTAATTCCATGCCGAAAACTGGCAAAACACCTGAAGAAGGCTCAACAGGCGAAATGTAGTTTTTCTTCTTTATACTTTCCAGCATGGAATTAACCTTTACACCCTGCCTGTCCAGCCAGTGCACAGTGATGCAGCTCCCCCATTGGAAATGTAAGAAACAGCAAAATCCAGAGATCACAAGTGATCGTCTGGTCTTACATATGCATTGTTGAGGCTGCTTTAGTTGTTTTAATAATTTGGCTCCCTCCAAATTATGAAAATACCTAGATTATATCAGATATTTAATACATAGGAAGGTTTCCAAGGTATCTCCAAGCACGTGTTTTCTGATCTGTGTAGGAGTGATATGCTGAAATCATTCATTTGTAATTTATTACAGACATTTCCTTTTTTTCTTTGTAGAATAACGATGTTGTTTGCTAACTGTTTCACCTTTAGGTGCCCAAAGTGCCAGAGCAGGTACTCAACACAAGAAGCTCTGGAACAGCACCTCCAAACTGCATCCCACAATTTCCCATGTCCCCACTGCCAAAAGGTAAAACCAATTCCAGAGAAAGATGCCAGACATGTAAGGCAACATTGTCAGCAGGTGTATTTGAATGACTGATGTTATATTTGCATACAAAAGACATTGTCTTTCTAGTGAAGCAGGAAATACAATGCTGATAAAAAGTATATAAACCCCTTAGGATTTCACATTGGAAACCTAAAATGTTATAAGATCTTAATGTAAGACCTACTAATAGATCATATTAGCCTAATGAAACAAATAAAATAACACATAAGATTTATTTACTCTCAAATGAGGGCAACATTCAGTATCCATGTGTAACAAACTATGTGAACCTTTAGATTCTATAACTGGAACCCCTTTGAGCAGCAGTGACTGCAACTATAAATGTTCTCTTTAACCACTGATCAGTCTTGACATCAGTTTAGAGAAATGTTCACCTATTACCCCTTCCAGAACACCATCAGCTCTGGGGCATCTGAGGGCTCTTTTGCATGGACTGCTCTCTTCAGATCCTGCCACAGCACTTCAGTGGGGTTTCGATCTGGACTTTGACTAGGCCTTTGTAACACAGAGTTTCTTCTGGCGCAGCCATTCTGCTGTAGATCTGATTGTATGTTTATAATCATTGTCTTCTCCGTGACTGACTTTCAGCTTCAGTGAGCCAACTTTCTAGCAAAGTGTCATTACCATAATTGTACCAGGGGTTGACACAGTTCTTCTCAGCTCTGTACATCTCTGTTCTTCAGCACAAATTTGCAGTGACTTCACGATGCTTTGTTACACATGTGACCTAGGCTGTACTCTGACCTACAGGCTCTCGCAGGGGATAATCCATGTTTTTCTGTTGTGTGTCCCAGGTGTTCCCCTGTGAGAGGTACTTCCGTCGACACCTTCCCACTCACGGCGTGGGGGGAAAGTTTAAGTGTCAGATCTGCAAGAAGTTCTTCAAGACGGAGCACTATCTTAAACTGCATGCCCGCATCCACTCAGGTGAGAACTGCACCTGCAGAACTGCAGAGACTAACTGGAGTACGGGTTTTATCGTGCAGAGCTTTGTGCTGTTACACACTGTTTGCATAATAAGTAATGCGTTTTATTTCTATAACATCTGTCTTGTAATTTCCCCAAGGCACTTAACAAAAAAGATACCAGACAACAACAGTTAAATGTCTGAATTTTCCAAACTCTAGCATCTCCAAAATTACCTAATTAAAAGCAGAAAACAGCTGTGATTTAAAAACGTCACATGCTTTCTAAGACTTGACTCAATCCAAAAGAGTTGTATCATTTGTGCTGGAGTTTTGTGTCTGTCTGATTTTAAGCCTGCTAAGTGCGAGCCCGAGCCGCAGGCTTGTCTGGTATCGGCCAGTATTGAGACCACAAAAGGAACCTTCTCTGTTTTCGGCTGGCAGGTGAGAAGCCCTACAAGTGTACTGTGTGTGATGCCACATTCAACCGCAAGGACAAAGTGAAGAGGCACATGCTCATCCATGAGCCCTTCAAGAAGTACAAGTGTCCCTTCAGGTGAGCCGGCGAGAAACCACGTGATAAACCCATAACTACTTTGCACCAAGAGGCATCAGATCTAGGCTTCTCCAGGTATTATTTACACGGCCTTCCCACTGGTGGGATCCAAGGTGTCAGTGAAAGCTGGAAGTTTCACAGCTTGTTGCACAGGGGCTGCATTCTAGTGGTTTGTTTTTTGGGGTGCCTAAGGTTGAAACCTAGAAATGGGCCAGGGTACTTTTTACCCCAAGGAAGTTACCACTGGGAGGTAGGTGGGGGTATTTTGTATGGGGTGAGAGAAATATTTGGTTTTTGTTTTCTTGTTGTGTCTTGTTTAAGATAAGATTTTATTGTCCCCCGAGGGATTTTTTTTATGGACACCCAGCCCTCCTGTACATTTAAATAGAATGTTAACAAAAAAAAGAAGAAAAGAAAAACATTGCACATTATTCTATTACAAAAAATACTAAAAACATTGCACATCACTCTCTTGCACATGTATGGTATAACACATGTTATTGTACACAATAACAACATGTTTTTTTTAAAGGTGAGATAAGATTAATTAATCAAATAAAATAGCGTATATCAGGGGGCCGGCTCCAACACTGCTTTGTGCTTTTCTGGCTCATAAGCACGTCCATGGTACCATAGACTGGAACTGCTTGAGGCTCCAGGGTGGCTTGTGATGGTGTCGCAAGTGATAAAATTAGTATGGCATAATACTATTATGTGTGCTGCCAGATTGAGTGGCGTAATGTAAGTACTTTGCAGATTTCTGGATGGAAAAATCATAGGAGAATCTAACCTTTCTGCTATTTTATTTATGCAAATTCTTTAAGTTTAAGGCTGGTGTGGAATGCTGTAAGAGTGTTCTCTTGATGACAGCTGATGTGAAGCTTAACGGATACTCCTGTCTAGTTAATTGCTTTGCATCACTGCCTTTGTATATCAGCTACACATGGTGGATCCCTCAAGCTTGGCACCCCTAGCCCTGTCATGGTGGAGCAACATTTGAAACCATTAGACCAGTGGTTTTCAGCCTGTGGGCCACGACAACAAATGATTTTTGTAATTGTAAAAGAGTCGTAAATATATAACATAATAATATAATAATATATAAACATAATAAAAGTCCAGCTTATACCAAAGGCTAGAAAGCCTCATACAATTGGGGAGAATTTATTTTTGCCTGCTGGAAAAGAGATGGTTGGTGTCATGTTAGGAGAGAAGCCCTGCAAGATGCTAAATATAATATCACTTTCAGACAACACTGTTGTTGAATTAATGAGATGGCACATAATGTAACTTAGCAGCTGTTGCAAAAAGTGCGAGAGAAAAGATTGCAACTGGACAAATCTATGGATATTTCCAATCTCCTTGCGTATGTTAGATATGAACATAATGGAGAAGTACATGAAGACTTTCTCTTCTGTAAGCCTTTACCTACACACTCAGCCTCCATAGCCATTTCTGATGTTTTGAATGCGTTTATTGTGTCAAATGGGACAGAATGATCGAAGTGTGTGGGAGTGAGCACTGATGGAGCCAGAGCAATGACAGGGCAACACAGTGGGGTCGTTACACGTGTGAAAGCTATTGCACCGCTTGTGACATCTGTACACTGCAGTTTACATAGGGACATTGGCTGCCCCTAAAAAAATGTCAGAGTGTTTTAGATGAGGCACTTAAAATAGTCAACTTCATAAAGAGCAGACCTGTACAGTCACACTTATTCTGAGTGCTATGTGAATAAATGGGTAGTGATCATATTAAGCTTCTTTTGCACACTGAGGTACTATGGCTTTCTCAGGGCAAGGTGCTTACTTGGCTTTTTGAGTTGTGTGATAAAGTAAGAATTTTTTTATCCGACTCAAAATTTGAGCTCTCAAATCGTTTCAATGATTTTGAATGGCTCTTTAAATTGGCTTATCTTGCGGACATTTTCAGTCACTTAAATGGACTCAGCCTTGGTCTTCAAGGTAAATCAGTGACGATTTTTCACGTCCAAAGTAAAATAGAAGCCACAATAAAGAAACTGGAAATGCGGGCCAAACGTGTCGACCAGTCAAACTATGACGTGTTTGAGAATTTGTCCAATTTTCTAACAAAAGACCAAATGCAGCTACCAGCCTCTGTCATAAAGTTAATTACAGAGGTCCTGCAAAGTTTGAGGACCCAACTGCGGGACTACTTCCCGACTCCAGATGTTCTGTTCAGCTGTAGATGTTCCTTTCCTTTTGTTAACCTATGCAAAGAGGCTCTCGATAGTTTGAGCGCAAAGGAGCAAGACAGCCTTGTGGAGTTATCCTGTGCCAGTGCTCTAAAATTGATTTTTTCACACAAATCCTTAAGAAATTTTTGGCTTTGTGTTACTTCAGAGTATCCTGATCTTTTGGACAGAGCAGTGATATTTTGATGACGTTTCTGACAACATATCTTTGTGATACTGGAATTTCTGCGCTGGTGGCACTAAAGACCAAATACAGGAGTAAGCTTAATGTTGAGCCAGACCTCCGCTTGCAGCTTTCTTCTCTGCAGCCCGACATCCAACATTTGGTATCTGTCAGACATCACCAGCCCTCTCACTAAGTGAGCCAGAAAGAAGGAGCGCAAGTTTACTGCCAGGCTAGTTGTAGGCTATTGAGTGACTGTGCGTTTATGCGGCCATTGTAAAATCTACATGTTGTATATAAAGTAATGGATGGGGAGTTAACATCTACCTATAATTGTTCTGATAGTTATTGTGCATATTTTTGTTTCTCAACGTCTTCATAAGTTCATTGGCACAGAAGGCAGCCCCGCACTTGTGTAAAAATATTCAGTTCGTTTTGATTCGACCCATTCAGTTTTGTTTTGGACAAGGCTAACATTAATTGCATAATATGTCATAATAAAGAAAGAGCTGTACTAGTGCCTTAGTTTTTACAATATATATATTTTTTTATTTGATTTATTTTTTGTGAGGTGCTGACTGGACTCCTTCTGTAATCAATAAAAGGTCTTTGTAAAGCCATGTTTGCAGCTTGTATGTGTGTATTTTCTCTGATTATCGGTGTCAGTTAGGCTAATGGTGAGATACGGAGCTAGTCTGTTTCAAAACGGTGAGGATGTCCTGGTCCTTTTATGGGCCGTGGAAGTTTTTATGATCAGTCATGGGGGCCGTAAGCTGTAATAGGTTGGGAGCCTCTGCATTAGACATTCTTTAGAAATGCTGTTGAGCATCTGAATTGTTTTTCCTCCATATCATAATGTATAGTGAGAAGTCAAAGGCCTATATTTTATTGACCAAACACTAGCTTTTTAAAGAAAGAATACATTTTCTCACCTTTGTGAAATGCTTCGCCTTGCAGGACCCATGCTGGTTGCGCAAAAGAGTTTAACAGGCCGGACAAGCTGAAGGCACACATATTGTCCCACTCTGGTAAGTGAAGATTTAGTGAGGAATGTGCTTCACAGGCTTGAAAAGGGTTTGGACAGAGACAGGGATTCTGCCTGCAGGGCATAGAAGAGAGAACAAGTTTCCGAAGAAAGCTCAGTAGGACAACCTGATCTATGTTCAGCACTTCACACAGAAAGTCGATGACAAAGGGGCCTTGAGGCTGCCTGAATCACGCATTCCATGACTTGCAATCTCAGAACAGGCTGTCTGGTTCTTCTCTTTATTCTTTCTTACATCTCTATTCTGCAGTATGTGCCTATGGCATCTACTGGAGGGTGAAGCCATCTATATACACAACACACAATCTGCAGGACGATCAGGCAAAACAAAGAGACTGGCTTCCTCTGTGTGTTAGACTTATTGTGTTTTGTGTGTATTATTGTGTATATGTGCTTGGTTTGAGGTTTGAATGTTACAGGTTAAGACCTTTGAGTATAATAGAGTGGCTGTCGAAAATATTCACCACACTGGGACATTTTCACATTTTATTGTTACAATATTAAAATTTAATCTGGGTTTTTTGTCATTGATCAACAAAAACACTCTAAAAGTGAAAAACAAACTTCTACATTTCCTCTTAAAATATAAATAGAAATCAGAAATATTCACATCACTCAAGTCAGTATTTGTTAAAGGCATAAATTACAGCTATGAATATTCTTGGATAAGTCTGTACCAACTCTGGATATCTGTTTTTCTTTGCAAAGTTTATCAAGGGTCCTCAAGAAGAATGGGTACTGTTGGTTTACAGCTATTTTAAACTTCTGCCACAGATTCTCACTTGGATTGATGCTTTGGCTGGGCCATTCCAGCACATTGAGTTGAGGTTTTGGCTGAATGTTTTGGGTCATTGTCCTGCTGGAAGATGAATCTTTTCCCAAGTCCAGGTCTCTTGCAGACTGCACCAGGTTGTCCTCCAGTACTCTAATTCTGCACTTTGCTGCATATCTTCATGTCTTTCTGGCCTGTGCACAGCAAAGTATCCCCATAGCACCACCACTCAAAACAGTAAGGATGGTGTTCTCAAGATGGTGCTTGCACCAAACATAGTGTGAATGTTCTGAACATAATGTTCAAAAAAGGTCATCAGACCATAGAATCTTATTCCACTTGGCTTCAGTCTCCCATTGCCTTTGGGCAAAACTATAGTTTAGTTTTTTTCCAACAATGGCTTTTATTGTACCACTCTTCAACAAAGCCCAGATTTGTGAAGACCCTGGACACTTTTGGAAGACTGTAAATCCTTTAGGGTTGTCATAGATTTCTTGGTGGTCTCCCTGACTATGGCCCTTTTGACCCAGATACTCTGTTTGTGGACACCCTGTTCTGCACAGATTCAAATATGCTATCCAACATATGTTCTCCATTTCTTTATAATGGACATTACTGTGCTTTGGGGGATATTGAGTGTTTTTTAATTTTCTTATTCCCTTCCTCTGATGGTGCTTTTCGATAAAATTCAATTTCAGTTTTGCTTTGAATGTTCTTTTGTCTTCAGGATGTAGTTTCTGAGTTTGTGTTGAGTTGTTGTACTAATTGGCTGTGGGACCTCCCAAGGATGTATATATTTAACAGAACTCACATGAAGCTCCTCCATTGTACACGGTTGGACTCTAACAAATAATGTGACTTCTTAAAGTCACATAAATCACAAAAATTAAAGACACGTACTTTCACCAGAGCTATTAAGGTGTGTCATAGCAAAGTGTGTAAATACTTAGGCAGTCAATTATTTTCTGCTTTATATTTCTAGCTAATTTAGAAGGATCTGTAGAATGTTGTTTTCACTTTAACATTATAGAAGGTTTTGTGTCAATCATTGTCAAAAAAATCACAGATACATTATGATTCCATATTGTAGCACAATGAAATATGAAAGAGTCAAAGGAGGGTGAATACTTTTGATAGCCATTGTATTTAAGATGATACGAACCTGGTTTTGGAAACTCCTAATCCTTCACCGTCTAAGGGTTTGAAAAGGTGCATTATAAATAAAAGTTATTATTGACTTAAATTTTCTTCGTAAAATGTAAGAGAAAGTCATAAGAAACTTGTAGGTATTCCCTTCTGTTCTGAGTTGTTTTCTTCTTCTGAATTAAAAATAATTCAAATTCACAAGGAAGGTAAGAACAAGTTGGCAGTATATAATAGGTCCATCTATCCAGAATGACACATTTGGTAACAACAGGAAGATCATTCTTCTCCTGTGGGGGAGAAACAGTATTTAGCAAGTGAAGCCTGTTGTCATTTGGGTATTCATAAAGTTTGAATATTACTGCTTAAACATTGTAAAGACTAGAGTGCAAAATGTTACCTTCTTCTTACATCCCGATCAGGGATGGACATAAAGCATTTTTGAGTTCATTTGAAATTGGATCTTGATCTAGTACCTCTTAATGCTTCACTTGTATTAAAGCTTTTGATCCCGGACTTTTTGTAATACTTATAAGAATCCCGGCCAACTCCAGGAAGATGGCACTGTGATGGGTTTGTTTTCTGGTGTTTCAGGAATCAAGCCCTACAAGTGCCAGTACTGTCAGAAGGCTTTCAGCCGGCGGGCTCACATGTTGGAGCACCAGCGGTCGCACACGGACAACTATCGCTTCCGCTGTCCCACCTGCAGCAAGGGCTTCACCAGGCACAAGTACTACAGGGACCACAAGTGCCCGCAGGCCGGCGGGGCTGCAGGGGACGGCGTGGACAGCAAGGGGGGCCCCAAGAAGAAGCCGCCACGCTCCAGGAAGGCTGGGGGCAATGCCAAGGGCAGCGGGGAGGCCGGACTTCCCGGATCGAAGGGTGGGCACGACAGGAAGGGGACGGTTGGCCACACGGAGGAGGGGGAAGGGAGGCTACAGGCACCGCGGTCTGTGCTGTCCATTGTTGGGGGGGAGAAGGGAGGCGGAGGAGCGGGGCAGGGGGAGGATGAGGAGGAGGAGTCTGGAATTGTCGCAGGCGAGAATTCGGAAGCCATGCAGAGCACTACAGACCTGACCCAGCTCCAGGCTGGTGCTGACGCCACACTGCTGACAGTGCCCGTGTTCATAGAGACGGTGGACTGAATTTGTGGACACTGCCGATCACCGATGGGGCAGCACTAGTCTGTGGGTTCCACTGGAGAACAAGAGATCATAACTCCGGCTTAGTGCTCCAGCGGAGAGCTGGAAAGGAGATTGGGATCCTTGCTGGACTAAACAACCTGTTACGTTCCAAAGGACCAAAGTATACCAAAAGTATGTGTATGCTTCATAAGAAATGGTTGCATCAGGGCTCAGGTTACAAATACAGATCAGAGTATCAGTTAGTCCAAAAGGGCATTTGGTACTTAAAGATTTTCCAGGATGTTTTATATTAAAACGTTATGACTTGGCCAAATTTACAGGTATACTTTTTGTACATAAGAAATAGAGCATTCATCAAAAGCAGTATAATACTGCAGTTAAAATGCCATACACATTATTTATAAGATACCAGTTTTTTTTAATGTTTTTACACTTTTAATTTTGGCATCTGATAATTTCATTTCTCAAAATAAAGGCTTGTTGCTGCTAAGAGATGCAGAGCTGCCGTTGGAAAAAAAAGATTAACTGCAATTTTCAAAGTTTTCACATTGTGACAATAAGAATAATTTTCTCAACAAAGCATAAAAGGTAGAAATTCCTAGTGCTTGTTAAGCAAAATGGATTGAACAAGAAACATGTTGGCATGTTCTTTTGGAGTTGAAAGACTTGATTGAGGAAGAATGCACTTCAGTTTCTTCTTTGGTCAAAAATTAAAATCACATTGAAGATTGCCTTCATACATTTATTTGTACTTTTATTAATAATATCTTGTTAGCTTTTACTCAATCAGGCAACCACTGTGATTGCAAGACATGCTAAGTATCTAAACATTTTACATAAACTGTATTTCTGAAAAAGACAGCTCTGTTCTGAGTTTTTTGTCACCAGTTTTTTTTAACAGTTCTGCAAATATTTTTTCCTTCTCTCAATTAAACCAAGAGAGTGTTTATTGCAAGTGTGATATTTTACTGCATAAATGCAAGTTTCTGAATCCTCCATGGTTTTACTAGAAAATTTAAAAACTGCATTTTATATTTTAGGATGTTATAAAATTACATCTGCTATTTCTAATGTAATGAAAATGTAATCCATTTTGTTTTGTTTTTTTTTTTAATCAGAAAAGGGGGGAATTAAGAAACTTAATCAAGTTCTTCTGAAATAGTTGTATTGGGAGGACTTGTTGGTTGCTCCAGTATCTCACTGGGCACCATTTCTGTCATTTCCTTTTCCTCGGGCTTTCGCAGAGGAAAGGTTACCTCGGGCTCAGGACAGAAGAGGAATTCATACAAGAAGCCAGCAGCCACTGCTCCCATCATAGGTCCAACCAAGCACACCTGCAGAGAGGAGACAAGTGCATCGGAGACAAGCCTGCTGATCCAGACACAGGAGTTGGTGTATTATGTGAACCTTCGCTACAGAAAAGGGATAGGGATGAATACAGAATTGGTTTAAAGAATAAATGCAAGTCAAAAGAGGAGGTGGTGTAACTTCATATAAGTCACCTGAACTTATACAAAGACATTCAAAAGCATCAGAATCTATATGGGTCAGATTCAAAAAGAAATTGAAAGGGCATAGGATTAGTTGTCAGTTTAGATGATCAGCCTTAGGTCCTCAACAGAATTATTTGTTATTCATTGTAATCAGGAAGGTAGCAAGGCCAAGCACTGTGTTCTGAAAATACAACAAAACCCAAGTATTACATCTACAGTATCTTTATTCTCTTACTGATGCACAAGCAAGGTTCTCAGAAATGTTAAATCCTTCAGTATTTTTATTTGATTCTGTATTAGATAAGCACCACAATTTCCTTGGCCTCTGTCTCAATTTCAACCATCCTGTCTAATCTAAACTTTCTAATACACAAACACCAACAAGTCCTCTTCTGGAGACTCTCCAATATTTGAACAAAAGGGACAGCTGGTATCTGGTACAGGCAATGTGTTTAAAATATCTTGCCGTGGAAATTTACCTATCAAAGAGAGCGTTCTCACCTGAGTAAGGTCTTTATTTCAATATTGCAATATTGGGAGCCCTGCTGCCACTTTGCAAAGTGCAACCAGAGACTCAATTTGTTATAAGCAGTACAGGGTTTTTATAAGATGTTGCGCTGTAAGAGAAAGCTCAGCACTTTGTCCCTTCTAACACTTCCCCTTTCCTAAGACAAAACAGATTACATCATAAAAACGAAAGAAGGAAGCACCACTAGGTTTTTTTTTTCCAAAGCTTATCAATTACCTTCGGCTAATCTAATGACCCAGACAGCATATATTGTTTTGGTACATTGTCTTCTAAAGTAACCTAAACAGTGCGTACTTTGTTGACGGACTGTTTCCTAAAAATCTGCCCATAGCACAGCAGGTACATCCTTGAAATGTATTTTCTAAAAGCACCAATTTATTTTTTCCAAAGCTATCTACATTTTAAGAATCAATTTAATTATTAGATTTCCATTTCAATTCCCTCCTTTTTATTCTTGAAAATGGTTAAAAGTTAGATTCTTTATATGGATTCCCAGGAGGCTCCCATACTTCGGATTCTTGCGTTCTTATCAGAATATACTGACGCGTAAACATATTCATTACCATATTTCGAAGCATTGGAATAATACATGTCATACAGCAACATAAAA